GCAATCTTCCCCGGTCTCAGCTGGTTCTCGCTCTCGCAGATGGTGTTCTCAAAGAGCAGAAATTCCGCAGAAGTTGGAGGAGGAGGGAGAAGGAGGAAGAAGAGGGAAGGGGCGGAGGAAGACGGGAAAAGCGGGGAAAGGGGTAGGAGAAATGGAGGAAGAGAAGGAGGAGGAAGAGGGAAGAGAAAGAGGCGAAGGAAGGGAAAAGCGGGGAAAGGAGTAGGAGAAATGGAGGAAGAGAAAGAGGAAGAGGGAAGAGGCGGAGGAAGAAGGGAAAAGCAGGGAAAGGGGTAGGAGAAATGGAGGAAGAGAAGGAAGAGGAAGAGGGAAGAGGCGGAGGAAGGGAAAAGTGGGGGAAGGGGTAGGAGAAAGGGAGGAAGAGTAGGAGGGAGAAGGAGGGGGAAGAGGGAAGAGGCGGAGGAAAGGAAAAGCGGGGAAAGGGGTAGGAGAAATAGAGGAAGAGGGAAGAGGCGGAGGAAGGGAAAAGTGGGGAAAGGGGTAGGAGGAAGAGGGAAGAGGCGGAGGAAGGGAAAAGCGGGGAAATGGAGGAAGAGAAGGAGGAGGATGGGGTAAGAAGAAGAGGGAGGAGAAAGAGGAGGAAGAAAAGTACCAAGAAGGGGAAAGGGAGGAGAGGGAGGAAGGGTGGAAGGGAGGAAGAGAAGGAGGAGGAAAGAGGAGAGGAGTGGAAGGGTAAAGCGAAAGGAGAAGAGGAAAGGATGAAGATGGAAAGAGAGGAAGAGAGAGTGCAAGAAGAGCATATGGAGGGAGGATGAAGAGGACGGGAAGGAGGCGAAGATGAAGAAAGGAGAGATGAAGAGAAAGGAAGAAAATAGGGAAAGGATGGAAAGGTACAGAGAAGGAGGCGAAGATGAAGAAAGGAGAGATGAAGAGAAAGGAAGAAAATAGGGAAAGGATGGAAAGGTACAGAGAAGGAGGCGAAAAGGGAGAGAAAATAGGGAATAGAAGTAGGAAAAGGGATAAAAGGAAGTGGGAAAGGAGGACGAGAGAAGAGACAGATCTTAGAGAGAAAGAAAAGGAAAGGACAGAGGGAGAGAGAAGACGATTAAAAATTACAGATTAAAGAATATAATTAAGAAAATACAGACAGACAAATTCAGAGTCAGAAGGACAGAAACAGATATATGAATAACCAACCAAACTAAGATCTCAGGAGAAAAAGTGGAAGAAGAAGAAGAAGAATGAGATGAAGAAGAAGAACAAGAACAAAAACAAGAATAATGAGAAGAAAAAAAAGAAGAATAATGAGAAGAAGACGAAGAAGAAAGATAAAAAGATAAAGAAGAGAAAGAAGAAGAAAAGAGAAAGAAGAAGAAGAAGAAGAAAAAGAAGAAGAAGAAGAAGAAGAAGAGAAAAAGGAAGGATGATGAGGAGAAGAAGACATAGTAGAAAAAGAAGAAGAAAACGGAGAAGAAGAAAAGAGAAAAGAAAACTGAAACAGAGATAAACGCACGAATTACCATCCCACGTTCCCTCTACTCACCCCCCCCCCCCACGGCCTATAATTCTAAATCTAATTCTGATTCTACTTCTAGGTCTAATTATAACTTATTTTATTTTATTTTATTAATCTTATTTCTAATTACGTTTTCTTATTCTGTTTTTATTTCTAGTGCTAATTTTAATTCCAATTTCAGTCCTGTGCTAATTCTGATAGGATTTTTAAAATCTAATTCTGATGGGAATTTTTAAACCTAATTCTAATGGGAATTTCTAAATCTAATTCTGATGGGAATTTTTAAACCTAATTCTAATGGGAATTTCTAAATCTAATTCTGATGGGAATTTCTAAACCTAATTCTAATTCGGGTTCTAGTATTCTCGTTTCAAATCTAATCTTATTGTCTTCCTCTTCGCATTCTGTTCTTACAAGTGATTGGTGGGAAAAAAAGGTGTTTTCTTGGCGTATTTCCAGGGCTGAGTTTGTGCTATAAACATTCTGCGTATTTGTTTGTTTGTTTAGTTGTTTAATTGCTTATTTCTATGGAATTCTTGCTGATTATTATTTGCTTTGTCTTTATTAGGTTCTTTATTTGCCCGTCCTTCCTCTCCTTTTCATTCGTTTGTTCTTATTTTCTTTCTTTCATCTCAGCTTTTATTTATTATATTTATATCAACTTTTTGTCTTTTTTTTTTTTTACTTTCTTTCTTCCCTTTCTCCTTCAGTTGCTCCATTTTTTCACATTCCCTTTCTTCTTCTTTTATTCCTTCTCCTCCTCTCTCTTCTCATCCATCATCATCCCAGATCACAAACTTACAAACCCCATCTACCTTTCTACTTTTTTTTCCCTTTAACTTTTATTCATCTATTTTTTTCATTTCACTTTTATTCATCTATTTTTTTCATTTCACTTTTATTCATCTATTTTTTTTTTATTTCACTTTTATTCATCTATTCTTTTTTACCCAAGTCTCAGTCCATATCAGCAACAGAGTCCAACAGGTGACAGTAAGAACGCGAAAACGATAAAACGCGAGCTAACAGGTGTTTGAGGGGCTACACCTGTCTTTCTGCGAGAGAGAGAGAGAGGGGAGAGAGAGAGAGAGAGAGAGGGAGAGAGAGAGGGAGAGAGAGAGGGAGAGGGAGAGGGAGAGGGAGAGGGAGGGAGAGAGAGAGAGAGAGAGAGAGAGAGAGAGAGAGAGAGAGAGAGAGAGAGAGAGAGAGAGAGAGAGAGAGAGAGAGAGAGAGAGAGAGAGCCAGAGATAAAGAGATAGAGGCAGATATAGGTAGATAGATAGATAGATAGATGGATAGATAGATAGACAGATAAACAGATAGATAGATAGATAGATAGATATAGAGAGAGAGTGAGTGAAGCAGATATAAAGAGACAGAGACGCAGAGATAAAGAAAGAGAGAAAGAGAGGTAGAGATAAAGAGATAGAGAGATAGAGGCAGAGATAGATATATAGAGATAGATAGATAGAGAGAGAGAGAGAGAGAGAGAGAGAGAGGAGAGAGAGAGAGAGAGAGAGAGAGAGAGAGAGAGAGAGAGAGAGAGAGAGAGAGAGAGAGAGAGAGAGAGAGGCAGAGCCAAAGAAAAGCGGACAAAGAGACATAGATAAAGGAAGAGAGGAAGAGACGATGAAGAGAGAGAGGAAAAGTCGAAGAAAGAGATAGCAGGGTGGCAAAAGTAATGACATTCCTTGCGTTTAGGTATGACGGGCTATCTGGAACTCAGAAAAAGACCCGGATGTCGATTTTGCATGACTTTCTACATCTATATTTCTTTCTCTTCCTCTCTCTCTATCTTCTTTTATCCATTTATCAATTTGCGCGCTTTCCAATAATGTTTTTTTTCTTATATATTTCTGTCAGTTCACCTCCCTTCCTAATCCTCCTCTCTCTCTCTCTCTCTCTCTCTCTCTCTCTTTCTCCCTTTCTCTCTCTTTCTCCCTCCCTCCCTCTTTCTTTCTCTCTCTCTCTTCATCTCCCCTCCCTCTCTATCTCTCTTTTTCCTTCCCTCTCTCTTTCTCTCTTCATCTTCCCTCCATCGATCCGTGATCCCTTCTCTCTTTCCTCCTCTCCCTTCTTGCGTACCTACTGCAATCATTATCTTTCTTGCTTTTTCTTTTCTTTCCTTTCCCTTCTTGTTTGTCTTACAAAATACCTCAAATACCCCGCGCTTTTGCCATTTACCATTTTTTCATAGATTTTTTTTTCTTTTTACCCCATCACCTCTATCTGTCCCCCACCCCCTCGACTTCCACCCCCCCCCCCTCTCCTGTACCCCCCCCCCCCCCATACCGTCGTCCAAAACCTCGGTAGAGAGAATAACCTCCAAAAATCCGGTGGTAATGAGTCATAATCCTCGAATGGCGTGGCGGGCAACATCTCCGCGGCGCGAGGTCAAAGAAGGTCAACCCGTTTGACCTTTCCGAGCGTCGATGACCCCCGTCTGGATGGAAGGGTTAGGAAAGGTCAGGCTCGGCTTCTGTTTCATTCCGTTGCGCATTTCGTTTGTCTGTGTTTATTTGGTGTTCATGGCGCTTGTGTCGTTTTTCGGTTCGTTGAGGAAATGTGAGGTTCCGTGCGGGTGGTTTTCTCTCCCGTGCTATGCTGGAGACTGAACTCAAATTCATTTAACGTAGGATTAACCTTGACACAAAATTTGGGTCAATAATACCAAAAAAAGAAAATGTGAAATTCAGCAGACTTCTGTTGAAAAGGCTGGAATATTATATGCATTAGAGACCTGAAACCTGTTGCGCAATGTTTGCCATGCAATGCAAATTGGTTCTTGTAGAAGTACCTTGACCTGTGCGTGAAATCAAACCTTGTGTTATTATGCTTGTCGATTAATTATCAACTTTATATTACCTGAAACACCACGAATGCCATACGTGGAATAACACTTCTACTAATAATAATCTACTTCTCTACATATCAATCACATACGAAATGTTGACGAAATCTCTTTATAAATACTTAGATCCTAACATGCAGCTTTTAACAGCACGTAAATGCACACACACGCAGTCAAATACATGTCAAATACATGACAAAAAAAAAAATGTAGCTCGACTCACCTTAAGAAAAAAAAGCATGAAGAAAGAAGAAAAAAAATAAGGCACAGCATTATCATTATCCCGAAGGACAGGACGAAGCAGTCACGCCAAGGACAATTGAAAATCCTCATCCCTGCCTGAGCACATGCACGAAAAAATGAGTTAATGAACAAATTAGATTTATCGCAAATCAGCAAAAGTAGCGACACGCAAGCACGCAGTTATTCCTTTCGTGTTAGTCACAGCAGATAAAAACTCGACAGTAGCCATTGGTCTCTGTTCGTTTCGAGGCTAAAGCTCCTTTTTTATCAACCACAAATTATAGAAAAAAAAAAGATTAAAGACAAGAAAGCAAATAAACGTAAAAGCATATTTATCATCAAACGTTTAGCAGTCAGTCAGCTAAATGCAGATTAGCGAGCCAAGGAGAGAGACGGCCTGAGCACCGACCAGCGAGGCAAGCAGACACTCACCTAACACTCCATAATGGCTGTTGGAAGGAAAGAGTGCTTAGTGACACAAACACAATCGCCTCAGCAATGTCCACTCTCAGGCCTCGTCACACATAACCCGAGCTCATTATGAGATCCAAAGTGAGAAAATAGATTTCTTTTTAAATTAATACAAGTGAGAGTGAAGCTAGAAAGATAGGAGCGAGACAGAAAAAAAAGAAACACGTCTTGCGCACGCGGAGTTCAACGCGAAGCTACCATGGTATCAGTCTCTATTTCTATTTGGGGCTCGAGGTTAAGGCAATTTCTACATGGGGTCTGACAAGGGAGAGAAAGTTAGATTTTTTTTTTTTCTGAAGAGTGGGCGGGGTTTGGAGGGTGCGGCAAAACATGCCAGAGGGGAGATACTGGTGATTAAACTAATAATGACTAACTTTTGTTTTCGTTTTCAGATGAGGGATCAATAAGGGTTGTTCAGCTTGCTAATGGTTACTTTTTTCATATTTTAAAAAGAAAATATATTTAAAGAAGAACTAAACATGAAAACAGTAGGGCGAGGTAAATGCAATCGAATAAAACTAAACAAAAACAAATACGGTAAATAAAAGAAAATAAATCTAAGGAAATAGGTAATTGAAGAAAAAAAATACAACAACAATAACCTAAACGATTAAAAAAAATATATAAGAACTAATACACAAAAAATACTAACATTTTCGGAATAGGACAAAACGAACGAACAAAACTGACTAAGATTAAGAAAAAAAATTAACGAAACGGACGCACGCAAGAGACTGTCTACCATTATAGCTTCACCTTGACACTGTTAAGACATACATAGCGCAGAGTGAAGCAAAGTTCAACGATACATCAATGAACAGTGAGCAATGTTAAACACTATAACGCAATATAAACATTATTTTCGGGTTACGCTCAGACCTAAAATTAGACTAAATCCATGTATATCTAAAAACACTAACAATTTATTTCGAGTTAAGGTTGTTAAATACGACTTTAGCATAACGGCAGTTTTGTTCATTATCATATACATATATTTTAAACCAGGTATGTAAAGGTACATGTTTAAGCTTAATGATATGAATTATATCTGCATCTTAATTAATCAACTGCAGTTATACTTCAAATACTCTAATCCGGAAACATAAGGAAAGTCGTTTATCATTTAAAATCGTAAAGAGGCAATAGCTGACGAAACACTAATGGCTAATTTATCATGTTAAGAATAAATGGATCGCAGGCACCCGGGCTGACAGTTAGGCTCGCTTCCCCTCCCCTTCTCTAGCTCTCCCCTCCCCCCCTCTCTCCCATCCTCCCCCCCCCCCTTCTTCCCTTCTCTTGCTCTCCCCTTCTTCTTCCCCTCTCTTTCTCCCATACCCTTCCTCCCCTTCTCTTCTCTAGCTCTCCCTTACTTTCCACCTCCCCTTCCTCTCTCCCATCCCCTTCCTCCCTTTCTCTAGCTTTCCCCTTCTTCTCCCCCCCCCTCTCTCCCATCCCTTCCCCCCCTTCTCCCCTTCCTATCTCCCTCCCCCCCCCTCTCTCCCCTTCTGTCCCTAATTCCTCCCTTCTCTCGCTCCCTTCTCTCTTTCTTTTCTTCCCCTGCTTTGCCGGTCTTTTCTCTCTCTTACTCTTCCCCTTCCCCCTTTTTCCTCTCTCTTTCTCTCTTTTCCCTCCTCTCCTTTTTTCTCCACCCCCCCTCATCCTTGAAAGAGGGGGGGGGGTGAATGAACGTGAAGCATGAAAAGAGGGAAAATATAAATACAAGGTAGGGAGAGGAGAAAGGGAGAAACAAAATGATAAAAGAGAGAGAGAGAGAGAGAGAGAGAGAGAGAGAGAGAGAGAGAGAGAGAGAGAGAGAGAGAGAGAGAGAGAGAGACTGATGACAGGAAAAGGGAAAGAGTGAAAGAAGGAAGAAGGAGAAAATCATAAATGAAAGAGCCTGAAAGAATATAAAAAAACAGACAGAACAAAAACTAGAAAGACCAAGAAAGAAGGGAATAAAGAAGTACAGAGAAAATTATATCAAATAAGACGGTAGACGAGGAGACAGGTTATTAAAGAAACAAAAATTAAGATAGATAAAAGACAAGATAGATAAAAGACAAATAAATAAAGACGAACGAATGCGTGAGACAAAAAAAAAAACGAAAACAGGAGTGACGGGAGAAAGAAAAATAGATAAAGAGGTAGCTCGATAGATGTTTGAAAGATAGATAAATTGGAATACAGGCAGAGGAATGAGTGAGAAGAATGAGAAAGAGAAATACAACAGAAGACATAGAAATAGACAAGAAAACATACAACGAAACAGACAAAAAAAAATCCTTCAGAAAAAACAGAATAAAGAAGGCAAAAAAAAAAAAAAAAATAAAAAATAAACAAATAAAATAAAATAAAGAATATACAAACGTCCAGAAAGTAAAACACACACACACACAAAAATATATATATAAATACAAGAAGAAGAAGAAGAAGGACCTTAGAGAAAAAGAAAAAAAAACAGTCACTTGAAAATATCTTCGAAACAGATATTCAGTAAGAACATAAAAACGTCGGAGGGAGAGTGGGAAGAAGAGCCAGAAGTGGAGAGAAAAAGCCATAAACGAATAAAAAAGGGAGAGAAAACAAACCCGAAGAAGATTTTTGGAACGAGGGGGGGTGAGAACAGGGAGTAAAAGGAGTAATAAGTGTAAAAAGAATAAAGAAGAAAAAAGGGGAAAGAAGGATAACGAAGATGAATGGGGAAGAAGGAAGAGGAGGGAAAACAGGGAAGAAGAGCAAGGAAGAGTAATAAAGAAGAGGAATTAGGGAGAAAAATAAGAAAGGAAAAAAAAAACTGAGGAAGAAGAAGAAGAAAAGAGGACACGGAAGGAGAATAAAGGAGAATGAGGAATAATAAGGAAGAACAATAAGGAAGAACAAAGAATAAGAATAAGGAAGAAGTATAAGGACCTTAGACGGGACGTAAGAAATAAAAGGAAAAGGAGTGATGATGATAGTGATGATAGTAATGATGTTGATAATGATAAATGTGTTTATGATAATAAAAATAAGGATAATAAAAATAAGGATAATAAAAATAAGGATAATAATAATAATGATAATAGTGATAATGATAATGATAATAATAAGGATAATGATGATAACAATAGTGATAATAATAGTAATAATAATAATAATAATGATAATAATAATAACAATAATAATAATAATAATAATGATAATGATGATGATAATAATAATAACAACAATGATAATAATAATAATAATAATAATAATAATAATAATAATAATAATAATAATAATAATAATAATAATAATAATAATAATAATAAGAATGATAATAATAACAATAACAATAATGATAATAAAAATAATAGTGATAATAATAATGGTAATAATAACGATAATAAAAATGATATTAACAATGATAATGATAACAAAAAAAGGAAAATAATAATGGAGAAGGAAAGATACACGAGAAAGAAAGAAAGTGAACTGGAAGCAACAGATAC